GGGGGGGGGGGGGGCAGCTGGGAAATAAAATGGGAAATGGATGTGCAAAGAAATGGAAGAGGAACAGATTAAAAGAGTTTGTATTTAATTTTAAAGGCAGTGGGGAGCCTTTCAAGATTTTTAAAAAGGAAATTTATGCCAGAGTGGTAGACTTGATGAAGGAATTATAGTGGACCAGGGGATCCATTAGGAAGCCATTGTAGTAGAATGGACGAGGGCTACTGAGGCCCTAGTCCAGGCGCAGGATCTGTTAGAATAGAACAGAAGGGCCAAGAGCAACAATGATTTTGGACATAAAGATTGATTGCGTGTAGGAAGTGAGGATGAATTGAAGACAACTCCAAAGTATATGTATCTCCTTTCAATTTCTTAAATTCCAACTTTTCTTATATTTGGAAAGTCAGTTTATCTGTAATATACATCCAGAATCATCCTTTTTTTTATACCGCTGGAGGCTCTGTCCAGGGAACTTACACATGTGTCTGAGAAAACCCCTTGGATTCTGTCCCATATTCAAAGTTACTCCATGTTATAATCAATGGGTTTTTGTTATTTTTTATTCCTCACCCAAGAACATGCTTAGACAGAGGAGCGGGGGGAGGTAGAGAGAGAGGGATGGGGAGGGAGAGGGAAAGGAAGAGAGAGGAAGAGAAACATTGATGTGAGAGACAGTGATGTTTATCAATTAGCTGCTTCATACACGCCCCTACCAGGGATCGAACTGGCTACATTTTGGTGCACAAGACGATGCTTAAGCAACTGAGCCTGTCCAGCTGGTCAGATTGATGTTTTAATTGCAGAATGTACCATTATGAAAAGATAACCCAGTGTGTAAATGGCTCTAGTGTTGTCAGAGGTGTGGTGCCTTCCAGCCCTTCATCATCCCGTGGGAAGCCACAAAGTCTGGCTGTCTGACCTCTAGGGATACACAATGATAGGCCAGATACCTGCTGAGTAGACCCTGAGCTGGCTGTGGCAGGTCCTAAGCTTGCTCTGACATCCGGATTCTGTCCTGCTGAGGCAGCCTGGAAAGTGTTCCATGTGCAGTAAGTTGATTTCTAATTTAGTGAGTATGACATGTCAACTGTGTGAAAAGAATTATCATAGTGTCTCTTCAAAACTAGCAAAGAAATAATTGACTCTTTGCCATCCAAGAGCTTATAGTTTAGGCTGAGAACCAAATGTATATTGAATTTTAGACTAATTACAAAACTGTGTGTCAATTGAGCTTGATCTTTACAGATGAAAATAGACATTTTGAAGGCAGATGCAGAATACAAAAGGAGCTGTGAGAGTGGGCATGAGGTTATTGAAGGCTGTCTAGTTTAATTAAACTTTGAATTTCCTCCATGACCTGGGTCTCTCTCCAGGAGTCCATTTCCCCCACATTCTGTCAAGGAGTTTATACCATTATAAATGAAAAACTTTCACTGAGTTCAGAAAACATCCACTGAGATTTATTACATGCAAGTAGGATACATTAGAAAAGATTAACTACAGAATAAGGTGACATGTTAAGCAGATTCAAGAGGAGGTAACAGTGAATTGCGAGAAGCTTCTTGGAGATAGGGATTTGAAGTGGTTCCTAGGAAATGGGCAGAAGTGAGGCAACTTGTGGAGAAAGAAAAGGTCTTCTACACGTGGGAGCAACATAACCAAAAGTGAGGGTTCAGGAGTGTTTCTGGGAGATTCTAGAGGCAGTGAGTACACCCATTTCACCAAAAGAGAGGATTCTCACAGGGAAGTAATGAAGCTAAAGGACAGAGAGGACGCTTGGGCATGGATTGTGGAGCACCTGGAACACCCAGTAAACAGCTGGACTCTTCTATTCTACTGACAGCTTGTAGGATCCATTTTTTTAACAGTTTTTATTGAAAGGTAACTCACATGCCAGAAACAAAAGCTGTATCATGGCAGAATGTACACCTTAAGTACCAGCTTTCCCTTCTGCTGCAGATTTTCATGTTTCCTCAGCCCTGCATTACACTTGCTCTTGCAGGTGCCTCCATTGCTCTGATGGACAAAGAAGGATTGACTGCCCTCAGCTGGGCTTGTTTGAAGGGTCACCTCTCTGTCGTACGTTCCCTGGTGGATAATGGAGCTGCCACAGACCATGCTGACAAGAATGGCCGCACCCCACTGGATCTGGCAGCTTTCTATGGCGATGCTGAGGTGGTGAGTGACTTTAAACAAGACTCACGGTGGAAGGGATAGGGAAGGTTCTCCATCCATCATGCTATCTGGGGTTGAGGGTTGCATAGGGTGATTCCTGTTATAAAGTTCTTGGACCTATACTTAGAGGACAGGAAAATTCAAAACACCATTAAAGACCAAGAATATAGGTATGGCCTAGAATACAGTGGCTACCCAGCCTGGTTCAGACCAGCCGTTAAATAAAGGGCAGGCAGCAGCCAGAGCCCTCCGTGGAAAGTGGTGAGCCCATGCACTTGTGTTAAATGCTCTGCTTGATCCACGTGCTAGGTCCAGTTCCTGGTGGATCACGGGGCCATGATTGAGCACGTCGACTACAGCGGAATGCGCCCGTTGGATAGGGCGGTGGGCTGCCGGAACACTTCTGTCGTCGTCACTCTTCTGAAGAAAGGAGCCAAGATAGGTAGGAGAAGGAAGGAAGGTGCTTGGCCATCTGTGCCCAGGGGCCACACTGGTCCAGTGGTCTGGCTGCCCTGGGTGTTTGGTGTGAGTGTATATAGTTTCCCCTCTTCCCTGGTCCATTATTGTCCAAGTGAACAGGAAGGCTCTTCGCCCAGAGAAAGCTGCCTGAGCCATGGTCTATACTACCCTGTGTTTAAAATCACATGGTTATCTGCCATGCCCCTAGTGGCCTTAGCCAGGAGGCTGCTCTGAATCTAAGCACATGTTAGTGCTAGTGCCTCTGTACCAGCCGT